TAAAAATCGCATCTCCTTGAAAAGGCCCTGTGGAGTGGGGGGCATGGATGCTCCAGGCACCCACTGCAGTTATTTGGGCCTGGAGGCTCCCCAGAAAGCTAGGGTGACCATCTGGCTACACCAGCTACAGAGGTAGCTGCTCTGAGGTCACCGACCTGAGGGACACCTTACCCCTGACCCCGCCCTGGAACCCCTTGTGGTCTATGGACTCCTGGGAAACACGTATGCACCAGACACTGAACTCTCTATGAATTCTCATAGCCCAGCAGAGGAAGGAAGAGGCGTTCATTTCACAGATTAGAAAACTGAGGCCCAGAGAAGCAGCATGCCCCTCCGAACAGAGGCCTCTCAACCTAGTTGGGGTCTCAGCACTGAGGTGGGTGTGGGCTGGGCCACATGGAGGAGAGGGTCACTGTGGAGCCTGACAGCCAAGGCCCTTGGTGTGGCCCATAAATGCAGAGCACGGTTACTGCTTCTTGAGAACGCACAAGGTCTGGCAGGTGGACATGGCCTGCTCCCCATCAAGCCTCTGCTGGGGGCACCAAGCAGAGCCAGCCTTCCATGGAACTCAGAGCGAGACCCCCGGCCTGGATCCGCTGAGCCCCAGGGCCTCCTCACCTGCAGAAAATACACCGTTTCGGACGGTCATTGTGAGGATGGGATGTGAGGGTAGGGGACTCTGAGCAGCTCCGGAGTGAGGCGTGTGCCCTCAGACCTCAGTCCCCTCTGCTACCAAAGTGTAGGATAAACACTCTCATTTCAGCCAGATCCTGAATTAGACTAAAAATGGCCCAGTAGCCAAAAATGTGAACTGTATCTGGTGACGGAGTTTAAATTCCTAGAAGGCATTTACATTGCCTTTATCAAATATTAACATTTAGTTTTTTATTTGACCCCACCAGGTCTTAGTTGCAGCATGTGGCTTCTAGTTCCCGACCAGGGATCGAACCCGGGCCCCTTGCACTGGGAGCACCGAGTCTTAGCCCCTGGACCCCTAGGGAGTCCCTGTTGCCTTTAAATAAAATGCCCATATTACTTTTCTCATCCTCCCAACTCAGAGGCCAGAAAATGTAAAGCTGGGCAAAACCCTTTTCAGGGAACTTATACATGTTTATAAAACATATAGTGATGGCAATGTTTTTAATATTTTCAACCAACCCAGCAATTCAGTAACTTGAAAACTCTGCTTCGTAAATGAGAACATGTGAAGGCACAGAATAAAAGACTTACTTGGCTAAAGTCACAAAGCAACTGAGAGGACATACCTGGTCAGACCTTTCCACCTGAAGTGTCACAGCCTCCAAAAAGCCCATAGTCGCAACTGGTTTATTGAGGGACGAATGGGGTTCCACTTAGGAAAGGGGGTTGTCTGAGAGGACCGGTCAGGTTTCTGTGGCCCAACCAGAGCAGCTATTGGCCAAGTCCCGGCCATTAGAAGAGAGGGCCCCCCTCCCTGTCTGCACTGCCGTCCTCCTCTGCTCACTTGTCTTGGATGGTCCCTAGCCTTCCCATCATCCTCCATCCTTGTGCTAAGACACAGCGAACTTGGCAGTGAGTGAAATACTGCTCTCTGCTTCTCTTCTTGGGGGAAATCCATCAGTAATTAGACTCATTTTTCAATTTTGCCACCTAGAAACAGAAAATGCCCATAAATCTCCCCAAACAGAAATGAAATGTAGCTGATTTAATTACCAAGGAGTAAACAAGGTGATTCTGCCTCCATAAGACACCCAAATGCGTTCGTAACTGACTCATTAAACTACTGTAGAAACGATTATTCTCTGTGAGGCAGAGGTGGGGTGCTGGAGCAGACACAGGCTTTCATGGGAAGGTGATGGGCTGGTGCTACCAGAGCAGGGGGGTGGTGTCAGGGACCACAGGGCGGGGGAGGGGAACAACCCAGTGGTGATGGCACCTCTGCAGACAAGTCTGTGACCAGGCAGGCTTTGTCCTTCTTCACCAAGACCCCCTCTCCTTCCCCAAGTCCCCCCATCCACCACCCCCCACCCCAGGCCATCCTGTAGGAAGACGCTCTCAAGCTGTCTCAGGTGGGTTTACCTACAAGGAGTGGGTGGGTGCTTTGGGAGCCTCACTAGGGTAGGATTGGGGTGACCGCAGCCTCTAACTCGTCTGGGGTAACCCCCATACACTGTGTCCCCATGAATTAGTCACAGGCGCTCTTTCACTCTCAAAACTGCCCTTGTTTGGATGGTAAACTGTATGGCCACTCTGTGCATCCAGCAGGGAGGGGACAGGTTGTAAGTTGGCACCAATGGATAGATGGTCGTTGTGTTGAAAAGGATGCTGAGGTCGTGATGTGGGTCAGCAGGTGAGTTCACAGTGATGGCTGAGCAGTGTCTGCTGGAGTCGGTTGGGGGGTGGGGGCAGACAGGCCAGCAGGTAGAGGCGGCTTGCATCCAGGGTCTCTGTGGCCCCAGCGTTCATTGTCCCACCTACCATAGGGTTTATATCCACAAGTCAGAGCAGCAGCATAATACAGGGACAGTGAATACAATGTTTAGGGAGCTATTTCCCCATCCGGATGGGGGGAACAGGAGCTGGGAGCTAATCCCCTGGCTCCCCCCACCCTCAGCCCCAGACCCTCACAGCTGAGGAAGCAGTGCCAGGAGGACTGGGTCCAGGCATCGCTTCCCTGTTGGGCCCCACAGCTGTGGGAGGGGACCAAGCCCTCCTGCTTCCCCCACTGGGGATGTCAGCCTTTCCTGGGTACCTGGACTCCCTCGGCACAGATCAGGAAGCCCCCGCGTACCCCGCCTAGGCTGGGGCACATTCTCAGCATCACAGGTGGATACTCAGGGCTCTGTGCTTGTTTTTAGTGGGTCTGCACATATTTCAACCAGTTCTGGAGATCAAAGAAGCAGGGGGTCCCTGCTGAACCTCAGCATAGCCTCAGGGCACAGTGATCCCCAGGACTCAGGCCTGAGGAGGCCACAAGGAGTTGTGAACTCACAGGCCCAGAGGCGCCAAGGCATCAGCTTCCTCAGCCATGCCGTTCTCCACCCCCGGATGTTTCTATGGCAACATATGGTGTTTTGAAAGGATGACCAAGCTGTTTCACTTGCTTACGCTTTCTTGTTTGTTTTTTGGTTTTGAAGAGGGGGTTGGAATGAATTCTCTAAGGACTCTCATACCTCTAACGTCAGGGGGAACACATCGCTGCTCACAAGAGCAGTGCCACATGCACACTGACACCCTCACACACACATTCACACACTCTCACCCACCACACAGATCACTGTGCCTGATCTTCTTGGCGTCTGGCACCTGCCTCTTCCCTGGGTTCTTTTCCGGACCCATCTTCCTGACTTCTAGGCCCTTTTCAGCTCTGGCTCAGACCCTTAAACCTGAGCGGTCTTGTCCCGCTTGTGTCTTAGAGGATAAGCAAGACCAGGGAGGCAGAGAGATGAATGGACCTCGGGCCTTGGGTCAGGAAGTTCAGCAGGTCCTGGGTCCCAGGCGTGTGCCTCCCAGGCCTCACCTTCTCAGTGTCCCAGTCTCTCCAGCAGCAAGGTAGCTCGGATCATCTCTGAGTTCCTTTGTCTCTCAGACCCCGTGGTTGTACACAGGACACCGTCACTCCTGCCTGGAGACAGTTTCCATGACGTGGACACGCTGTCTCAGGCCGATGCTGTCTTCAGTGGGTGGAGCCAAGCCCCAGCTCTCCTCTGACAACAAACTCTCCAGGACCCACTTGTCCAGCTGCCCCATGAGCCCAGCTCCCCTCTGAGCCCGCCCCGCATGCATCTGACACGAGCAGCTTGGCCTTGAGTCCAGAAGGGGTCTCCTGGCCTTGGCACCTGGAAGCGCACATTTGAGACCTTTCCCAGAAGCCTCTGGGGCACCTGGAGTTGAGGACCAGTGGCCCTCGTGCTGAGGAGACTGGGTCAGATCCCACAGCCAGATCTCCTCCAGTCTGTCTGGATGGGGCCCAGGGTTCTGCCCTTTTTAACTTTGCATATCCAAACCCTGAACTGGGCTCGGAAGGCCACCACTGGCTCAGTGTCTCGGGGATGGGGAAGATGTGCTTGAAGGGGTGGGGTTGTGGTGAGCCAGAAATTCACCAGCTGGGTGGGCTGCAGATGGTGTATCCTCCCGGGATGCCCCATCCACAGTGTGGGTGGGACCTGGGGGTCTTCAATGAGCTCCTCCTGACCCACAAGGAGGAGCAGTGGGTCTGAGGTCTGAGCAGATGACTCCTGGAGTCCAAGGCTCCTGTAGAGCGAGCATCCATGTGTGAAGGCCGCGGGCAGCCTCCGCCCGGTGGGGTCACAACAGCTCCACGCTGGAGAGCAGCTGCTGGGGCGGAGAGTGGAAGGAGACGGTGAATCAACCCTGAGTCGGCTGGAGCCAAACCAAGTGTAGACTCCTGTAACAGAGCCTCATCCACAGCAGGGCTCTCTTAGTGGGCGGAGAGGGAGGAGGACCACCGCACCCCACCCCCATCCAGTGCTCACCCCATCCTGGGAACGCTGGGGCTCCTGCTGACCTGGTCTCAGTCTTTGGACAAAGAGTTTTGTTTTCTAAAGGAAAGGTTGGAGCACGTGGGCAGCTGCCTCTGTCTCCTGACCAGTGGAGGTTCCCAGACTCCAGTTCTGGGTTTCAGGAGGCTGGGCTGTAGCTTCTGGGTTTGTGACTCAGAACTGTGGCACTTTCTCTGCACTTCCAACTCCGCCCTCAGCTCTCTCATCCTGAGTTCTCTCCTGAGAAGTTCAAGCAGGTGTTCATTGATTAAGATTTCTCAAAGGTGTGCAGTTTTCCCACCACCCTAATTTCTGCCTTTTAAGACTAGAAGACTAGTGGATCTGAGCGTGCTTGTGGAATAGACTGTGGGGTTGGGGATGTGGCAGGGGTCCCTCCCAGCGTCCCCCTGATCCGACCACAGAGGGGCCACTTCTCTACCGGCTTGGGCGACCTGTGGGGTCAGAACTTTCCAGACCCCCCCCATCTGATGACCTTTTCTCTTTACTTGTGTTTCCTAGGAGCGGGTGGAGTATCTCTTTCTCATCATTTTTACTGTGGAAGCATTTTTAAAAGTCATAGCCTACGGACTCCTCTTTCACCCCAACGCTTACCTCCGCAACGGCTGGAACTTACTAGACTTTATCATCGTGGTTGTCGGGTGAGTACCAACTCCCACACCACCAGCCACCTTGGCCCTTTCCCTTCTGCACATACCTGAGTCTTTTTTATTTGGTCACAAGGGTCCTGGGCTTCAGGCCAGACCAGAGGATCTATTTAAAATCCCTCTAGATTCAGACTTTCTGCAAAGGGAGGGGAGCTGTTACCTGGAATAGTCCGGTGCTACTCCCACCTGCACGCCCATACCTGCACACACACACACACACACACACACACACACACACACACACAGAGGTGAATCAAGGGTTTCTGCTGGAGCCCAGGGTCCTCTCTGCAGCCAAGGAAAAGCCTCAGTCTTAGGTCTTTTATTCCATCTCCAGCCTCACCTGGACTATGTTCCTGGATGGCTCCCCCCGAGGTGAGGCAGAGCAGGTGTGTTTGGGCTGGACGTGACCCTGCAGCCACTGTGAGGGAGGGGCGGCTGGCACACGGGGGCCGAGACCCCTACCTGCAACTGAGGGTCCTCACTCAGTGGCTGCCCGGGACTGATGGGCGAGAGGAAAACGGGACTAGGAAGGGCCAGGGAATGGGACCAGACGCACTTCTCGGGAGAAGAGTAGGGGAGAAGTGCAGGAGAAGGACGGGCATCACCTACACTCAGAAGCAGAGCAGCGCCAACATCTGCAGGAAACCTCGGGGCTGTGATCTCCTTGTCGGGCATCAATAACTTTGGGGAAGAGTCTTTGTCAAATGTTGGTACAAACAAGCCCGCACGCACTGCTGGAGATGCAGGTACGGTTGACCAAGCTCCTGCCACTTGTCCAATCCATGCAGGGCAGGGTCCCCACGCCTCGGGGCTGACCTGGCGCTACATCAAACCCACCTGGCACTCATGCCCTCTCCAGCCCCACAGCCTCTGGGGTCAGGTCCACGTGCCAATGGGCTCTTATCTAGGGGACCATTCCAGCCAACCCCGGCGGACACTGCCTTGGTGGCTTCCCCAGAGAGCACCCTGCTCGGAGCCCATGGGCATCTGGCCTCTCCTGCAGGAAGCGACGAAGCAAGTCAGGGCCACGTGGGAGCGAGACCCTGTCTCCGGGAGTCTGGATGGCTTCTTGTAGGTGTCTGAGCGGTGTTAGGGTTTTCACCGCTGTACTTTTTGCCCGGCTGATGCGTGACGCATTTTGCAGTAACATAAGGGACACTGGAGACACGAGGGACACGGAAGCTCCTGAGCTGTTAGCCACATGTGGACGTCGGGTGAGGAAACAGCTCTACAAGAGGTCCTGTTCACACTGGGTGAACAGAGTGACTGATGAGTGCCTTGAACTGACTCAGCAAACCATGGCGAAGGTCTTTAGGGCGGTTGTTCCTCACGCATCTGCATCCTTTTCAATTCAGCGTCTTCCTCGAGGCCTGAGTCTCCTAGGAACCTTTCACAGACTCGCGGGAAAAGCCCAGGACTGAGACATGGTGCTTCTGGGGCCAGCAGAGGAGAGAGGTCTCGCAGGGAGAGGAGCTGTGTCTTCTCCCATCCGCAGGATGGACTGGCCTTGGTCTGTGCCACGTTCTGCCCCATCCGCGGCCTTCACCTGTGCATAGGGTGGGGGCAGGAGACACGGGCAGACCTCGGACAGGGCCCTTGCTGCGTCTCTGCTTGTGTGGACTCCACTCCTCCTGCAGAGTGGACGGCTCACGGGTCAGCCCAGATCCCAATCCCATCTGCCCAGGCCAGGCTGTCAGACTGAGGAAGGGAGAGAGGCGTCCAGACTTGGCACCCTTGCAGATGTGCCTCCAGCTGACTTCACAACACGGAGGCCACGACGCCAGCCCCGGCACACCTGTGGTCCAATGAGGCCCTCTGGCTTTTTCCCACTGATCACACACTTGGGACCTGGTTTCTCCTCCCCGAGTTGCTAAGTCTTCAGGGTTCTCCATCCAGTTTTGATCTTGGCCCATCCTTCGAATTCAAAATGTGGCACACGCCCCCCACGAAGGGCATGGCCCAATCACCTCTCTTCTGCCATGCCCACCCCCCGCTCTCCCCCCTTCCCAATCCTTTACCTGGATGTGCCCACCCCCCACATGCCCCATTCCTTTTGGAAGTGGAAGTGGAAGCATCTCCTAGAAACAGTGGGGACACAGGTGCTGAACCTCAGAGTCTCTGTGAGCTACCACCCCCCCCCATCCCCACCAGGTGCCTGTGGAGCCCTCCCCACCCCTTCCCACCCAGGAGCCCTCCCTGCCCCCACTGGGCATCCTGGAGCCCTCAGTAGATGCACCCACTCTGACCGTCTACTCCAGCCTCAAGGGTCTGTACTGTGTCTCCATCTGCCTTCCAGTATGGCCCTGCCTCTCAGCTCACGGGCCCTCCAGAGACTGTTGTCCAATCTCGAATGTTGGGCTAAGGAACTGACAGGCACAGTCCGGGGGGGGAACGCCTGGAGATAGCCCCCCACAAGCATCCCCATGTGCTCCCAGTCCTGGATGGCGGGGAGCACGAAGCAGTGTTTTCACCTCCACGGTGTCTGAATGAGGAGCAGCACACGCCTCCGTGAGTGGACACCTTCCAGACCCAGTCCCAAACTTTCTACCCCTTCAGGGTTGACAAAGGGGAAGGCTGTTCAGTCTCCGATTCCCTCCCTGAATAATATTTGTGGACATCTTGTACATCGATAAGTGTGTTCCTTTCTTCCAGGAAATTCTAGGAACCAAATCTGGTTTAGATTGGGGATGTTGTTCAACAGACATGCAGACTGTTTTCCTCAGTTTCAGTAGAAAGAAGACTTCTCTGTGGAGAAAGGACCCGGCTCCCCCCAACCCTGGCCACCCCTGCCTGGATCACAGGCATCGCCAGCTAACACGGGGAACCCCATCCAGCTGCCAAGCTGGGGTGAAGGAACCCTAGAGCAGGAAGGATGTCAGACTTGGTCCGGGCGACTCGTCAGAACTTCTGGCTGCAGCCCCCGCTGTGCAGGCAGCTTACTCAGGGCCCCCAAGCACAAGACAGACCGAAGGGAAGCCACTCATGCCCCGTCTCACCGCCCTCTCTTGAACACGTATCTGTCAACCTTGTCCCTGTCAGTCCACCAGACACACCTGCTGCCAGGGTCCCAGGGGGCCCTGTGGCTTCCAAGCCAGTCTCCCATCCTTGTACCTGTGGCACCGCATCAGTTTCCGTAGGACCCTTTGTTTCTGCCCAGGTTCAGGTCAAAGACAGAGGCTTGTCAGGAGGGAATGTGGTTCCCAGGCACACAAGCCGAGACGTCATGGGGGGCAGAGGGCATCGAGGAGGGACAGGCCCTGGCAGCAGCCCCCGCCTGCCTGACGCTCTGCCCACGCGGCCGATGCCAGAAAGCCCAGCTTGATGCTGGCGCCAGGCTGCCAGGGCCTCGGTCAGACCTCTCCGGGCAAGCGGGGACCTGCCTTTAGGTACCGTCATCTGATGAGAGTCAAACCCTCCAGCACACCTAGACTTTCCTGACTGGAACCGCCTGCAAATCCCACTGCCTGGCATCCCTGGAGAAGTCGGAGCCCCGCCGGGCAAGCAGGACGTCCTGATGTTCCCTCTCTCCTTCTATTCCAGGCTTTTCAGCGCAATCTTAGAGCAAGCGACCAAAGCCGATGGGGCCAACGCCCTGGGAGGGAAGGGTGCTGGATTCGACGTGAAGGCGCTGAGGGCGTTCCGTGTGCTGCGGCCCCTGCGATTGGTGTCCGGGGTCCCGAGTAAGTAGCTCATCCGTTCAGCCATGTGACCTCTCCACTGTTCCTGCTCACCCATCCTCAGTTGCCAAGGAATCTGGTTTCCTATAAACAGAGGGTTTCCTTGAATGGGTCCCGTTGCTGTAAAGACCCCAACTGTGATGTGAGTCCATTAAAACCCACCGTGGCTCCTGCTCACGTGCCCCCTGGCTGAGACAGCTGCACAGAGAAGAGCCTGTGGCCATCTGCGCAGCCCGGCCCCCACCCCAGGCCCCCTGGGCTGGGAATTTAAACACATTTGCAGCAGAAAAGCAGAGAGCTAATCCCCCAGGCTCTCGGGGCACAGAGCTGAAGGATTATCTCTACCGTCTGTATTTTTTTTTCAAAGAACAATCAGAAAAGCATCAGTGGATGTTCAAAAAGTCCCATTTTGCCACCTCTCTCAACCTCTCCTCCTTTCATGTCACGTGGGGTGTCTCCAGCCTCTGAAGCCCTATTTTTGGACCTGCCGCCTATGGAAGCGAGAGCTAGCTTTCCCTGAGGGTGGAGGGTGCTGGCCTGAGTTGGGCAGAGGGGTGTGGGAGAGACTGTCCATCAGGGGATGGGCCTGGGTCAGCTCCCCATCCCCGATCCTGCAGGAACCCCCGACCCCACCCTGTTGCAGAGCAGCCCCCAGCCCTGCACACAGAAGGTCGGGCTCCCAGCATCCACTCCAGCAAAGCCCAGCCCAACCTGCTGCAGGCTCAGTCCACTTTCTGAGAAGTCCTTCCACTCCTTGTTCACTGGTGGTCCCTGAACCTAAGATAGGATGTAGGTGCTGGGATGTGTCACAATCCACTCAGCTTCTGGCCTCTAACTCAAGGCAGAGGGGGTCCCCAAACCAGGCTGCAGCCAGACTAGCTTTGGAGATGGGGCCAGGCCAGGAAGGCAGGGGGGGCTCTGCACCCCCCCCCCTTTACACCTGCATTGCCACCAACCTGGTGACGTTGTCCTGCTCGGCAGGTGAAACCTGCCTGGGTGCAAAATTGTGGGGACACGGGGACATTGTATTAGCCTGTCCAGCCCCTGCTGCACCTGCACACAATGATGGGAACATCCCCTAGAGTAATTGAACTGGCCACAGTGGGGGACCAGGCTCGTGACTCAGACCAGCTCTCCCCGCCACATGCACGACTTCCTGTAAGGAGTTCCAAGCATGTAACCCCCAATGTCTTCGACAATTTACCCTCGTACCTGCCTCTGCAGTTACCTTGTAAGCCCCTGGAAGCCCAGACATGCCCCGCACTCTCTGACGCCTGCACGGTGCCTCAGGGCGGGGGCACTTCCTGGATGGGCGATGGCAGGAGTCGGGGGCCCTGGGCAGTGGTGGCCTGTGTTAACTCAGAGGGAGTGTAGATGTGCTCACACAGCACAGGTAAGCAGATTTCCTCTGCCTGGCCTTAACCACTGGCACTGGGAATGGAAAGTGTACCTCACGGCTGAGACCCAAGACCTTTTAGCAAAGCTGAAATTATGGGGTTTTCATGGTCGATCAGCCATCACTCAATAGGCCAAGCTCAGGGAATGGGAAGACGGGTGACAGTGAGTCTGTCACAGGACTCGCATGGCAGGACTTCCATCTGGATGCCCCCCGGCTGGCCTCAGCCCCTTGGTGTCCACAGAAACGGCACCTTCTCAGGGGCCTGTCCCACTGCTGTGTCCTCCGTCCATCTCTGCTTTCTTCCCCCGCTTCACCCTCCACCCTCTTCCCTGGTTATTTACTTCACACCCCTCACCTCACGAGAACAACCAGGTTTTGTATCATTCACTACTATATTCTTGTCACCCACTATTGTCTACAAAACTCCAGGTCAGTCTTTGTGGGGGGACTGGCCCCTCGTGGCCGAGCACAGGCACCACATGGTGGGGGCAGAACCCTAACACCCCCAAATGACACCAGGGCTAAAGACCTTCCTTCCCGGGCGCCTTCTTTAGTGTTTCTGAAGGGTTTTTTCTTCTGTGTTATTCGATCTTCGTGGCAACTGTGCACTGTGCAGCTGAACACGCAGGTGCTGTTTCTACAGCAAATATGCTGACTGGGTGGTTTGCGGGACCTGAAAGCCCACGCCCACGAAGTTACCGTTACTCTCTGCATCCATACATGTATTAAATGCCATGGACTCTCAGGATCACAGATACGGAGGGTGAGAGATGGTGGTGAGTGTACAAGCCCATGAGTCATTTATTAATTTGTTCAACAAAACCCACCAAGTGCCTACTTCATAGAGGACTTTTCTATCCTCACAACAGATACAGAGGTGACTCAGACACTAAATGTGTTCTCAGAGAGACTGAAGTGTCAAAGAAAACATGTTCATAGAAATGATGGTGTAGAGCAAAAATAGAGATGTGCAGATAAAAAAAGCAGATGAGCTCTGTGACCAGTGTGCTCTGGGGGACTCCATACTCTGGGGAGTGCAGATAGTGATCAGGAGAGGCTTCCTGGAGGAGGTGGCACTCCTTTGAGGAGGAGGAAAGGCCTTGAAGAGTAGGTAAGGAGGGGCATCTGGGACCTCAGGACGAAGAGGCAGGATAACTGTGGCCCTGGAGACGTGCACAAGGAGGTGGAGGATCAGGGGTGGGTCTTGCTGTGGGTGTAGAAATCAGGACACTCTCAAGACATGCTGTGTAGCTGAAGCTTGTCCACTATGCTCCAGGCATGCTGCAGTGGAGCCTGATGGACAAGTTACTATCAGTGACACAAGCGACCAAACCAGGGAAGTCGCGACTTTTTATGCTCTACCTGAAGAAGCTTAAAGATTTATAGGGACCAAGAAACGTGACCTGTTTACTGAGATGCACAGACTCCCCCAGGAGGAAAATGTCCCTTTTCGATTTGAACACAAAAGGCAGGTGGTGACAAATGTCCAGGTTACCACCTGCTAAATGCAGAGTTGGGTGTCTGAGTCAGGGTCTTGGCCTCCAAGAGCTTCATTGGTGGGTTGGCCGGCCCAGTGGTCCAGGAAGACAGGGCTTTAGCCCTAATTTACAGGCAGGCATACGCAGCCCATGTGCTTCTCCCAGGGCCATGAATGGAGATGGACTCAGGCCATTTTCAAGGGCAGGGTCATCCCCTACAGCAAACTGGCCTCTGCCACTGGGGGAGACATAACTGGCCACAGTTGCCCACCTGGCTCTCGAGACGGGCACAAGCGATACTTCAGGTGTTGGTGTATTTGCCTTTCAGTGGTCCCTGAGCCCTGGCCACATGGGCTGAGAAGTGGTCCTCTTCTCCATGAGGGCCTCAGGAGAGTAGGAGCACTAAGAGCCTACAGTGTGGACACCAGGGAGCTGAGTCTGGTCAGCCGTGTGACCTGCCCTTTAACCTCTGACCTGCAGTTTTTGCCCTGGGAAATAAAAGGGTTAAATTGTCTCAGCCCTGAAATTCTGAGCAGTATCGTCCTGTGCCTCAGTGACAGAGAATAGCAGTGAGCTGAGAACTTCTCTGGAATCACTAATTCTAGCCTGAGTCCCAGGCAGGGAATGACCCTCGTGGGCTCCCATCATAATGGCCATCAGTCCAGACAGGGCAGTTCCCCAAACCCTGGCCTTGTGCCCAGGACTGCAGTGGATGGTGTCAGTCACACTGAGACAGAGCTTCCTAAAGTCCAGAAGCCCTATCATTGATTCTCTTTAATGCCTGGCCCTTCTGTGGAAATCCCAAACCTGAAATTACAGCCAGCAGTAAGGTGACTGTCACCTGATTTAAAATAATGGTCATAGTAAAGGCCACTTACACTTACAAGTGACCCATAAATGCTGGAAAGAAAAATGAGGGGAGCGGAGGTGAAGACACAGTGAAGTCAGTGTCCTGTGAAGTGATCGATTTGAAAAACATGAACCCAAACACCTGTGATACCGGGTCTGTTCCCTCTGGCTAGCTCCAGATGATGAGTGGCCACGGATACTGGCATTGAGGTCCCACTCCTTAGGCTCAAGTCCCCGGAGCCACCACCTGTAGGCTGTGTGCCTCTGCGTCCTGATTGATCAATAATGGGGGTTAAAGTTGCACTTATGTCAAGGAGTGGTTGTGAGGATTAAATACTCAAAGGCTTGCAAAGCATTTAGAATTGTGGTCAGTGTGTAAGATGCATTAGCAAATTTTAGCTCCTGGTATTTCTATGAGTCCAACTCCCTGTCTGCTGAACTCAGGCTCCAAATGGGACCAGTGAAAGGAAGGGGATACTTCCATACTTAACTCTTTAAAATCCACTTTATTGAAGCATTATTTATATTCAATAAAACTCACACATGTTAAATGTACAATCACAAATGTAAGAGCCTTAGCATAGTACACTTTCACTAACACAACTCTCTCCCCTGTGTGAGCCTTATACATTTTCTACTTCTTGTTTAGTTGCCAAGTCATGTCTGACTCTTCACAGCCCCATGGACTGCAATACATCAGGCTTCCATATCCTTCACTATCTCCTGAAGTTTGCCCGAGTTAGTGTCCATTTAATTGGTGATGCCATCCAACCATCTCATCTTCTACTTACATGAGCATTATAAACCCCCCACCCTGTGTTAATATTTCCTGCTTTAGTAAGTTGTCTTTTAAGTAAATTATGAGAAAAAGTAAAAATGTAAAAGCTTTTATATTTGCCCACCTATTTACCATTTCTGAGACTGTCTAATCCTTTATGTAGATCTGCATTTCCTTCTGGTGTCATTTCCTGTCACTCTGAAGGACATGTCTATGGTATTTCTGTGAAAGAGGTCTGCTGCTGATGAATTATCTCAGTTTTCATTATCTGAAGGTGTCTTCAGCCCTTCCTCCTCTTGAAGAATATTTCCACTGGATATATAATTCTTGGTTGACAGCTTTTTCTTTCATGTTAGAGATGTTGTTCCACTTTCTCTTGGTCTCAGTTTTCTCTAAGTCACTGATATTCTCACCATGGTTCCCTGTATATGTGTTTCTTCTTTCTTGACTGTTTCTAGATTTTCTCTCTATCTTTTGTTTTCAGCACTGGACTGTGAAG